ATACATTGATCTCGAGACAAGAATAAGTTGCTATGATGGATGCAATCACCTTCTTATCCTCCTTCATACTCTTTGAGATTTTACCGTACAAAGTTTCTTCATTTATCAACCATTCGTAACATATGTCTAACCCAATTTGATTTAGGCAAAAATCAGATTTTTTTTAAACTTGATAAAAGTTGATGAAATACGTGATTGAAAAATTGTACATCACATAAAATACGTAGATAAATTAATTATTAATTTTTAATCAATATTTTTATCTTAAACGAAGAGGAACTCAATATTTTCTTTATTCCTTCAATTCTTTATTTTACAACAAATTCATATTTTTCGTGATGTGGTAGAAGGCAGACAGACAGACCCAATGAAGATGGCAAATTTGTTGGCCGACATTTGTTAACAAACTTCATATGATCCGACAAAACCAACAGATCCAAACAAAATCGATCTATAATCCTTAGATTGAATTAGGGTGCCAATTATAAATGGAATCTTTCTGCAAAGAGTTGAAAGATGAGCCTTGGGAATGAATACTCAAACTCAAGCATATGGCGAGCCATGGTACTGGGACAACCGCTACACACAGGATCCTGGTCCCTTTGATTGGTACCAAAAGTACCCTTCTCTTTCACCTATCATCCGCCTTTACATCCCCCACCACCACCACCGTGTCCTCGTCGTCGGCTGTGGCAATTCCGGTATTTCACTCTTTCTCTCTTGTTTTACATGATTTGATTTGTTTTGATTGATTGATTAATTTTGCAGCGTTTAGTGAGGGAATGGTTGATGATGGATATGAGGATGTTGTAAATATTGATATATCCTCGGTCGTGATCGAGGCTATGCAGAAGAAGTACTCCAATCGCCCCCACCTCAAATGTATGTATCTTCTTTTCATTTGAATCAATCTACAGTTTATGATCTTTGAATTGATTGGGGACTGGGCTAACATCTTTGATCTTGATAGGACAGTTGATTTGTCTAGAAGAATAGGATATTGTATTTTGTGAGGATGCAACGAGTAGCTTATACTTGAGTAGATAATTAAGTCCTTCTTCATTAACTTGTTCAAGTTCAAGTTCTTGTTTTGTTTTTATTCTTCTTATCATTGAAGTTCTTGTTCATCGGGATTTGCTTGTTTTAGGGCCCGTTTCCGTTTGACATAATTTTTTAAAAGTGAAAAAATGAGCTTTCGAGATTCAAAAGCTGCTTTTGGATTCGTTTGGTTAATTTCATAAAAGTGTTTTTTCTAATTAGAAGAACTTTTAGAGCAAACTAAGTCAGATTCTCTTTTGAGCCCCATTTTTGTGAAAAATGAATTTCGGAATAGTGGTTTTTTTTGGATAATATGAAGTTAAAAAAAAGAAAAAATTTAGTTTTATTGCAAAATTATTTTATTGGAAGAATATGTGATTGGAAATGAGTTTGGTGAAAAATGAGTTTTTAGAGAATGAGGGTCAAACATGTGCTAAAAGAAATTAGTTTCCAAACACAGATTAAAGTAGTTTCATTAAGAATCTCTTTTACAAAAGTAAGCAAAGGTCTTGCAAAACGGGCGCTTAAAATGTTTCGATTTCTTTTCCGAGTACATTTCACATTTTGTTCTACTTTGGAGGTGGTACTAGTACTGGCTGTTTAGTGCAGAAGTTAAATACATTTAACAGTAATGAGAAACGAACTATGACATTGATCCCTTATATGGCTAATTGATATTTTCCAAACGTCTTAGCAGATATTAAAATGGACGTCCGAGACATGAGTACATTTGAAACAGGATCCTTTGATGCTGTCATTGACAAAGGTATTCCTTTTAAGAACATATATGTCAATGGTGAAACAATTTATTCACAGTTTCTAATGTCTTTTCGACATGGTCTTCCAGGAACTCTGGACTCTCTTTTGGTGAGTACTCTATGTTGCAATAGATTTATCGACAACCTGATTATGTAATTGAGTATTTTCTTGCAGTGTGGATACAACTCACAGCAAAATGCTACTAAAATGCTTGAAGAGGTCAGCAGGTAAATGGAACCTACTCAATACTCTGCACATTTGCTAGTTTGCTTACCTTTTTCTTGACTTTATTCATAAATTAAGCAGTTCATGATAAACTACAGGATTCTCAAGGATAAAGGAGTATATATCCTGGTAATTCCTCTCTATTCTCATCACTGTCGGGACAGATTAATTCATTAAAAGAAATAAGGGGAAAATGATAGACAGCTCTCTCACTTTGCCCCTAATGAAGTTATAAGTATTCGGCAGATTACGTATGGATCGCCTGTTTATCGACTACACCTGCTGAGAGAGTCGTGCTCGTGGACAATTAAATTGCATGTGATAGGTTGGCTAAAACTTCTTTGACATGCTTCGAGATTCCTTTCCGCAGTATAGTTGAGGATTAGCAAGTTTGTTTTTGACGTGGTTGTGTGAATACATGCAGAAAAACTTCCATCAGCAGATAGTTCAGAACATCGGAACTGGGACCTGACTTCTCCTATTTTATTAGATGATGGAGGCTCCTTTGAAACTGTCGTAGGGAAGAATGCTGACTTACACTATATATACGTCTGTACAAAGGTCCGTAATATATCTCCCTTTATGTTATATTCAACTTCGTTATCTCACTCGTAGTTGATTACAAGTTTGCTGATTGTAATCTTACTGCTTATTTTTAGGATAAATCTGGGAGGTAAGCTTGAAGCACAAGTCTGCAAGTGAGAGAGAAACACGAGCATCTTTAATCGTTCTCACAGAGATTTCTTCCTTCCCGGCGTTGAGTTATTGATCGTTCTACATTAAGATTCACAAATAAAGGTTAGGTCATAGGTGTTTGTGAGATGAATCCCTTGAGTCATAATTGTTTGGCGAAATTTATGGTCGACCCCATTCGCTCATTCTCCCCTGAATACTCAACATGCATATCAGCATAATCGTGTTTTTTTTTTCATGGTTTACATAATGCACCTTCTTTTCCAATGCTTTCTAAGTTGATGTTATCTATAGGATGTATCTTTAATATGACCAAATTTTTTGTTTCAGAACGAGGTAGAATTAGGGGTGGGCAAAATCCGACCGTACCCGTCAAAACAGAATCAACCCGACCGGTTTGGGTCTTTTTTTTTGTTAAGTGGGTTCAATTTTTTGGCTGTGTAGGCAAGTTGAATCGGGTTATGAGTGTACTCATGAAAATCGAATAAACCCGTCCAACCCTACCCGCCTACTTTAAAAAAAGAAATAAAATAAAATGCACTTTGTTCTTTGTAGGCTCGGCTAATGAGGATTGAATAAGATAATATATACTTTTTTTTATTTACTATTTTATCTTATTCATTCGTATTTAGTATAATAAAAAATTGGATGACCTTAAAATTGTTGACAAATTGTCCCAAATCGACCAACTCAACCCGATCGATACTTGATTGGATTGGGTTGGGTTGAGTTAAATTTTGATCAAATCGATCATGTTGGGTTGAGACAAAAATCAACCAAACGCATGCTCACCTCTAGATAGAATGTGATCATGGGCGGATCAAGGGGGTCCTGGGGGGGCAAGTGCCCCCAACTTTTGAGAAATTTTTTTTTTTTTATAAAATCGTGTTTGGTATCGATTGAAATCTAAATTTTAATCTAAATCAAAGTTAACGATTAACTTTAATAACATATTTCATGGAATCCATAACTGTTTAACTTTTATCAAAATTTACTAAAAATTTGATTTTAATCTCCACCAAATAGGGGCAAAATCACAATAAATTTGAATTTCGATAACATGCTAATTTTAAAAATTCTCCAACGATCGTAAGNGAAATTTTATATGGAATATAACATCAAAAATTTTCGAAATTTTACATTTGAAAAAGTCATATCCCATGTAAATTTTCGAATGTAAAATTACATGGGGTATGATTTTTTTTACGTAAATTTTCGATTGTAAAATTTCTCCTAATTTCTTTGCAAATTCGATTGTGTCCCCCTAACTTTTAAGTTCTGCGTCCGTCCCTGAATGTGATGTTTACGAAGTGAAATGATGTTAGGACGTGGGCAACTAAACTAGCTTTTATTATCTGGTGAGTGCTCTGGATTGAAAAAGGATGGGTCGAGATGTTTGAAGGAATCCCCATGGAGTATAATTGAATATAGTCGAGAAAAAATAATTTTGAAAATTGATGAACATGATGTTGTCGAGTGTGAATTATCAAACTAGATTGTACATGTATCTTGATTCATTAATACAATATAATTCAAATGTGTCGAAACAAACAGGTGGGAACTGGATTTGAAATTTTCAAATGGAACCAGAACAATCTAAAAATCAACAATAGACCATAAGGTTAACTAAAACTTTGAAGACACCCTTGAAGAGCAGCTGCAGGGCAATTAGGACCCATGTAAAGAGCCCTGACAATTTGAATGCACCAATATATAGCAAAGGATAGTACTGATATTTTTTGAAATATAAAGTTCATATTAAGCCCTCCTTAGACCCTGTTTGTTGTTTCGAATTAAAATCAGATTTTAATTTAAATAAAAGTCGAACAATCAATATTAAGTTATTAACCCCATCTTTTATGAATCCTACAATTTTTCAACCACACATTTCAAAATTTCTATCACAATCTACTAAAAATCTAATTTTAATGACCACCCACTTAATTTGATTAATTGTCAATTTTTTTAGTATATTTTTATAAAAATCGATAAAATATATGATGAAAAAGTTGATAAAACTTTAACTTAATTTTTTAATACTTTTTAGCTCAATCAAGGGCTAAAATTGCAAACATTTAAAGTCTACTCAATCATATATTTTATCTCACTTTTATCAACGTCTACTCAAAATCAGATTTTGAAAGCATATAATAAAAAAGCACAACTATTTTTTATATATTATAATATTACAGCAGACACTCACAACTGAAATATTACAAAAGCATGGACAAAAAGGTATTAGTAATATTAAGACAATCCTGAACTTCATATACATGCACATATGCTCAGACATTTGTGAATCGCAGGTAATCCTTCCCCGAAGGAAGATCAGCAGTGTCGAAACCCTGTGGGAACATCTTTTTAGCCTCTTCGTTCGACACACTCGGCGCAATTACCACGGGCTCTCCAGGATTCCAGTTTGCAGGCGTCGCAATATTGTGCTTAGATGCCTTCATCAGCGAATCCAGCACCCTCACTACTTCATCCATGTTCCGGCCAGTGCTCGCAGGGTACAAAAAGCTCAGCTTGATCTGAACAAACCCAATTCAGTGCAATGACCGAAAAGTCAAAATCTTGTCTATTGACCTAATAGTGCGTACCTTCTTGTCGGGGCCGACTACGTGAAGAGCACGAGATGGGGACTGCGTGTCTTCGGGGTCCACCATGTTAAGTTTCTTGATGATCTCCCTTTTGGGATCCGCGGCAATTGGGTAAGTCACCTTGTGCCCATTCTGTGCATGCATAATCAAGAAAGATTAGCAAATTAACAAGGAAAAAAGATGAAGATAAGGGAATTTTTTGTTTACAGACATTAAAGACTTCGATATCCTTGATCCACTCATTGTGAGAGTTAACATCATCACAAGACAGGCCTAAAAGCTTAACTCCTCGCTCAGCAAACTTGTCGGCATAGGCAGCCATCATGCCGAGTTCCGTGGTGCAAACAGGCGTGAAATCACCTACACTCACTCAACCATTTTCACCAAGTACCACAAAAATGACACAAAAAGTAGAAACTGCATAAACAAACCTGGGTGAGAAAAGATAATGGTATAGCTGTCACCAACATAGTCATGGAGTTTGATCTTTCCCTGAGTGGTTTCAACTTCAAGATTCGGCAGTTTGTCTCCGAGTGTTAGGCCTGGCATTTTATCGAACACTTTGAAGGCTGAAAATTGAGATATCTTCGCAGAGCTAGTTATGGAGCAAGGCATAATTTGGAGTCGGAATTTAAAGGGGGAGGTGGGGAAGTGCATGAAGAGAACGTGGCATGTGTCGTGGCTTTACGGGCATGGAACCTGCTTCGTGCATTGACAAACACTGTGCTGCTTCCACGTATAGATGGCGGACTTGAGAGCGAACTTATTTTCGAAAACGGATGTTATAGTTTTGTTTGGTGTCCGCCCTCAATTGACGCCATTGAAACAAAATAGTGAAACTTAGTTTTGTTTGCTCACTTTGTGAAATTCAACTTAATGAAATTACGAGTCTCATAAAATGTCATCTGACACCTGTTATCGGGTCTAAATATATAACAATCTCTCAAAAGTATATGCTTCATTAAGCTAACATTTGGCGATCAAGTAAATGAAAATGCATTAAGCATATAACAAGCACAACATGGAATATATATAGGGATGACAAAAAAATTCGTTCAATTCGAAACTCGTAGGGCCCGCCCCGAATGGGTCAGGGATTACCCGTCTAATTCGGTAAACGGGGAGGGGACGGGACGGGACCAGGGTCATTGCCCCGAAGCAGGTGCGAGAATCATAGTCCCCGCTCCGCTACCCGTCCTCTTTAAAATCAATTTTAAATTTAAATTTTTTATCAGACAAAAATAATAAATTTATCTTATTTTTAAAGTGAACATAAGTTATTTCTAACATATTAGTAAAAAAGTAATAATATTTATTATTTACTAAGTAAAGACATAAAAAAAATAAAAGCAAAAAAAAATAATAATAATAATAAGAATAAATAAATCGGGAGATAAATGGGGCAGGGGATCTTCCCCGCCCTGCCTCTATCCTGCCCCCTCCCGCTTTAAACGGGTACGAGGATGATGCAAGTTAACAAAAAAATCTTATGGGACGGGGTGAGAATGGTCGATCCATCGCATACTCGTTCCATTGTCATTTCTAAATATATAACATAAGTAAAATGCAAATGCTGAAATTAATGAAGTTGAGTTACATTAAAAATCAAAACATTTAGAATTCTGCTCGTAAAGGAAAAGTAACAAAAAAATACAAGAGATGAAAAAACACATTACACAATCGATAAACTTAAAGAAAAAAATCAAAGACAATATTTCGAATCCGTCCATTGATTGAATTTTCGGAGTGAAATTTTTCTTTTAGCTCTCTTCGTTCAATTTCTCATTTTTTTTTTCTAGATTCTAATGTAACGTGAAAAATGGATTTAAAAAGATTACACATAAGGGCAATCACACTGATTCAATAAATATCAATTTTTGGATCAAGATTGGAGATTGAGCCCTCGTTTGATCTACATTATTATCTCATTAAAATAAAAAATATGACCGTTTTCCATTACATTAACATTTAAATTCAAATTTTCTATCTCTTGTGTAGACCCCAATAACTGCTATATTTTTCATTCTCATTCTATAATAATTTGACTCAAACAGGGATCTCTCATAAAACAAAGTTGTCCATCTCTAGAGCCTACTGCTACTTTTAAGGAGCTTCCAACATTAATCACAATCGGACGCTTGGTCCCTGAACTTTAACAAGTAACAAAATAGCACAATAATAATAAAGCACTATACATCTCCGTCCTTATAATTTATCGGTCTTCATCATCTTCTCCAAATTGATGAAGATTTATACTCGAATTTTGCACCATGCTCTCATCCAATATCGCAAAAATGATGATAATGTACTCATAAGTTCAAATGGAGCACACTAGAATACTCATCATTACAAAGTGCACAAGGCATCTGCATAGTTTTTTTGGGATAATTGCAACATCGGTCCCAAACCTTTTAAAAATTAGCACCCGAGGTCCAAATTAAGGATTTATGTTAATTTGATTGTTAGTTAACTCAATAAATTAACTCTGACCAATTTTTAAAAAGGGTATAATGGTAATTTTGAACTTTTTAAAATTAAATAATCAAACAAAAAACAAAAAAATGGAAAATGAACAAAATTACGCCGTTGTCTTCCTTCCCATACCCACCACCCTTAAGTTCACCTAACCCCAACCAAATCAACTAAAAATCCAACCCACCCCCACCACGCCGACAACCGCTACTCATCATCGCATTCCCATTGTGCCTGCCAAAATCCACATATTCACACAAATCGATTCAAAATAAACATTAACAAGGTCCAAAAGTTCTTTATTTTTCCAAGGCCCGCTAGTATGGTAGTACAAGCAAAGTGGGATAAATCTCTCTTACTTTTTCCGAAACTCCTTGATTTTGGTCGTGGTAGCAATGGTGTGCTAGTAAACTATAATGTGGTGGTGCCTAGGATAGGGTTGTAGTGAGGACAATTATTTTGTATTGTATGCATTTTTGGGTCGTTTGAGCTGGTGGATCCGATGGTGGTCGGTTTCCGAGGATACCATTTTGCTCAGTTTCTGCTGTTGATTTGACTACCCATTTTCAAGAATTCTTGATTTTTAGTGGTTGTTTATGCATATATGGCTTTGATTTGTGTAGGGGTGGGGTGGTTCAAAACAGTGAATGTAGGAGGAAATTGACGGAGTGTGACAGACAGAAGGGCCACACAATGGCATTAGTAGCAATTTTGGCTTGATGTGTGAGTAGGTGAGTGGCAGTTGTAAGCGCTGTGGTGAAGATGGGTTGGATTTTGGTTGGGCGCGGTGAGTGACGATGGTCAACGCTATGTGGTGATTTGGATGTGGTAGGCGGTGATCATTGGCATGGAGTGGAATGGTCGGCGATCGATGGATGTCAACGGCAGGCGACGATGAACTATAGTGGTTGATTTCTTGGTTGGTTTTAGGAGGAGGAGGATGAGGAGGTGGGGGTGGGAAGTAGGAGATGATCAGTGAATTTGTTTTTTGTTATTTTTATTTTTTTGATTTTTAAGTTTTAATTTAAAGTTACAATTATACCTCTTTTAAAATTGGTCAAAGTTAATTTATTGGATAAACTAACGGTCAAACTAACAGAAACCATTCATTTGGACCCCAAATACTAATTTTATAAGATTTGGGATTGTGGTTGACATAAAGTGAAAGTTAAGGTAAAGTATGAAAAAAAGTGAAAGGTTTGGAACCGCTGCAATTAAAACCAAATCAATTGCAAGAAAGTCCTCAATATTCCCTATTTTTTGCCTATCCAATCCATTTAAATACGAAGCACTTTCAACTTTTAATCACACTCAAATAAGCAATTTGCAAAAAAATTAAATTTTTATATCATAGTTTCCGAACCAAACAAATTCTCAAAAAAGGCGCCCGTCACAATAATTTTCCCGCGCAGCACTTTTCTCATCGGCCCCTTGTGCTGTCCCAATTCAAACTTTTGCGCCACCTCTGAGCGAACACCGCAGAGCTAGGGTTCCGCCGCATCGAATCGTCGGAACCCATGGAAACTCACCAAATCTCGAAGCTTCTCATCCAGACACTCAGTCCTGACAGCTCAATTCTCTCTTCCGCCACCGATGCCCTCGATCGCCTCTCACTCACATTCTCTAATTTTCCTTTCTCTCTTCTTTCCATCATCGCTTCCGGTACGCTCAATCAGTCCTACTGCACCAAGATTTTATGACAATTGATCGTCTGTCTTTACTTTTTTATTTAATTGCTTTTTGTAGGAGATGACCAAGGAGTGAAACTTGCTGCAGCTACTTATCTAAAGAACTTCACACGGCGAAATACTGATGCGAATTGTACAAATTCGTTGACAAGCAAGGAGTTTAGAGATGAGTTAATGCGTGCTTTGCTTCAAGTTGAACATCCTGTTCTCAAAGTTTTAATTGAAGCTGTATGTACATTGACTTTTAGCCCCTGTTTGACTTCCATTAAATCAAAACTCTTATTTTTTCAAACTCATTGTGATTCACTCAATAAAATATTTTGCAGGTAAACTCAATTTTTTTCTACTTTTTAACCACGTACTCACCCAAAAAATAAATATTCCAAAACTCATTTTCCCAAAAAAACTCATTTTACTTTGAATGATTTTATGTTATTTTTTTCAGAGAAGATAATTGTTATCCTTGTTGATTTGATTTTATCTTCTGTTTGTTTCCAGTTTCGAGCTATTGTTGCTGTGGAGTTTGTGAAGAGTAATTCATGGCCGGAACTTGTACCGGAGCTTAGGTCTGTAATTGAGGACAGTGACCGGATCTGCAATAGTGGGAAATCTGAATGGAAAACAATCAATGCCCTAACGGTGCTGCACTCGCTCATTAGACCATTCCAGGTACTGAATCATTTGAATACAAACATAAACCTGGCCTTTTTATGTTGTTGTACCATTTTTATCAATTTATACGAGTTTTTCATTTCAGAAAAGAATCGAATTGAACTGTTGTCTGTTGGAAGGCGATTGGGATATGATAGATTAGTGAATGACTCTTAAGGAATTTGATCGTTAGTTCATAACAGAATGTAAAACAGACATGAAGAAAATTTTGAAGTGACACAACTTCCACCATCTTAGTGTCAAGTCTGTTTTGGTTAATCTATAATCAGGCTTCCAATTGAATATTATCCGAGGAGAGATATTACTCATCAAATGAGCATGTTAACTTACAACTTTTAAACCGTATTTTTTGAGTCTTTACTGAAGAGCGAAAAACCAATATTTTCTCTTCCAACACCAGCCAACACTGCCAAAATCCTGTTTTTTTCTTTTGTGATTTATTTGTTAGAAGTGCTCTGATCGTATTTTATCCATCTGGCAGTACTTTTTAAATCCAAAACTTGTGAAGGAGCCAGTTCCACCTCAGCTAGAGCTAATTGCAAAAGAGCTGCTTGTACCCTTGCTTGCAGTTTTCCATCATCAGGTGGAAAAGGTAATTTTCCTTTTGATTTTATTACTTTTTACATTTTCTCATTTGTTGAACTGTCTTGAATTCATGTCATTGGTGCACTAGCAAGCATTAACTGTCCAAGATAGAGTGGACGTGGAAACTGAGAAGATCCTCCTCATCATATGCAAGTGCATATATTTTACAGTAAGTTTAATTTTTATGGCAGCTTTCTATGTTACACAGTGCTTGTCTCTCATTGTAGGCTATATTAATGTCTAACTTGCAAGTATGCACATTTCTTCTTGTGTTTCATTTTTTCTTTTCTACTATCATTGATTGCGTTCTTATAGTTTTTAATTCGAGAGTGTCCATCTATCCTTTATCCGGAGACAAACTTTCTAATTCTTCCCTTTTCTCTGAGCCACATTTAATGTTTTTGGTTTTGCAGGTACGGTCACATATGCCATCTGCTTTGGCACCTTTTCTTCCTTCTCTTTGTCGCGATCTGTTTAAAGTTTTGAGTTCTATAACTCTTGAGGGTGGAGAAGCTTTTGTAGAAGGGCAGACACTGAGGCGAAAGATGGGAAAGAGAGGTTTACTCATTTTCTGTGCTTTAGTTACTCGACATCGGAAGTTCTCTGATAAGTAATATACAGATCTTTTCAGATTTGACTTCTATGAGGAAAAGGCAACTGAAATCGTCCCTTATATTTGTCTAATTTTGCATTTGCAGGCTGATGCCAGATATTTTTGACTGTGTATCACAAATCGTCAAGTACAGCTTAGTCATTAGTGTAAGGGCTTTGTGATTGCCTGAATTATGATAACCTCGAATTCTTGCTTGTTTTTCATTGAATTTTTTTGGTAATTCTTATGGTACTATTGTATGCCTGTTATGATTTTGTGCCTTCCTCATGAAACTAACAAGGATTATAACACTTAGGCTTGTAATGGTTGCAAAGTCTAGCTGCTTTTGATCTTCAAATCGATTTATTAATGAATTGAAGAAAGTGCAAAAACAGATGCATGAAGCTGACCTGAAGTTTATGGAGAACAAGCCTTAATTTGTTGTTGTAGCTTAACTTGTACTCGGTCGTTATTGAATTGTCCATTGACCTGTATATTCAGTTTGTCTCTTGATTTTTTCCATTCAACCCATGAAATAAAGGAAAAAACATTCCAAATATTTGACATCCCATGGATAATCCTTGTGCAGAAGCTGGATTTTTTATCAGAGAGGATTGTTTCATTAGCTTTTGATGTTATCTCTCGTGTTCTGGAAACTGGACCAGTAAGCACATTTGATTTTCTCATTTATTAATAATATTCCTTTTCCTGTTCTAGTGGTTTTAGTATCCTTTTTTCAAATATTTGAATTCTGTTCTGTGACTCCATCTGAGACATTACTTTATCTCATGTAAATCACCTGAAAACAGGGATGGCGACTTGTGTCGCCCCATTTTTCAACCTTGTTAGACTCTGCGATCTTTCCAACACTAATACTGAATGAGAAGGTGAGATCTGAGATTTTTCGAATCTTTTAAAATTGCAATGGTGATATTTTAAAATTTTGATTGCATGTAGAAGATGAACCACTTAGAATTGCATCAAGGAGTTGGTGTCAAGATTTTAGCATGGAACCACTGTCCTTTCTTTCTTGTAATATTTCACCAAATGTTGTCTCGGTAGCATATAATTGTAGTTTTCATGTTCGAGTAATTTACTTGATTCTGTCTTCAAGTAGGACATTGCTGAGTGGGAAGAAGATGCAGAGGAGTACATGCGGAAAAATCTTCCATCTGAACTTGTATGCATGGATATCATCATCTTTTAATATCATCTATATATCCATCATTAGTTTTGATCACATTGGTTTCAATTGTGTTCAGGAAGAAATTTCTGGTTGGAGAGAGGACCTGTTTACTGCAAGAAAAAGTGCTTTGAATTTACTTGGCATTATTTCAATTTCAAAGGTCTGTATTCCAAACTTCCGCTTCCAGATTCCTCTGTAGAAATGCTCACATCGATCCTAACTTGCAGGGACCTCCAGTTTTGTCTTCTTCAGTTTCATCTAAACGTAAGAAAGGTGAAAGGAACAAAAGAAAAGATTGCAGGTCTATTGGAGAGTTGTTAGTGCTACCCTACTTGTCAAAGTTCCCTATACCTGTTGATTCCAGTTCAAAGGCTATAAATGAGTGAGTTGAAAGAAACTTAAACTCAATTAACTTTGATTTAGGTGAAATTAACTCAATGACAACTTTCTGTGTATTATTAGAATGTTTTCAAGATATCTAATTGCTGCTTCATCCATATTTCTCCTTCAGCCCTCCTTGTCCTTTCTCGAAGCATAAATTACCGCAGTCCCTCTGAAGAGTCTCTGCTTACCTTTTCTTTTAATGATTTGGTTTATGTTATTGTGGCAGATACTTTGGTGTTTTAATGGCCTACAGCAGTCTTCTAGATGTAAGGACATCTGATGCTAATGATCCTATGAAACTTGCCTTATCTAGTTACAGAAATAATTTATTGTCTTGCACTTCATGATCAGTTTCTGAAGGAGCAAAAGCCTGGATTTACTGCCACTCTTATTCGGATGCGGGTGCTACCTCTGTATAAAGAATCTTTTTGTCAACCATATTTGATTGCTTCTGCAAACTGGGTTCTTGGTGAGCTCTCTACCTGTATCCCCGAGGTGAGGCAATTTCCTTTTCATTTATCTTGTATGAATTACTCTCATAACCATGTTTTTATGCATACAAACATGGATGCCTTTTACCCTTTCAATTCATTTTGTGAAGCATCCTCTGAGAAATGTTAAATTTGCATTTCCAGGAAATGAATGCTGATATATACACATCATTGTTGAAAGTGTTGACAATGCCTGACACAGACAAATTTTCATGTTTCCCCGTCCGAACATCATCTGCTGGTGCAATTGCGAAACTTGTTGAAGTAAGATGGTTCTAACTTGGTATCATTTTTCTTGAAGTGTTAAGCCAATTAAATATGATCTCCTACTTCTGGATTGGCAGAATGACTACATGCCACCTGAATGGTTACCTCTGCTTCAAATGGTAGTTGGTAGTATTAGCGATGATGAAGAAGAGACTTCAGTTTATTTACAGCTTCTTGGTACATTAATGGAGATTGGGAGTGAAAATGTTGCTCCTTATATCCCTGATATTGTTCCATTGTTGGTAGGAGCAATATCGAGGTGTATACCTCCTAGTCCAGATCCATGGCCTCAAGTATGACTCCTCTTCTTGTCCACTAATTTTCTCTATATATTTGTTTCTTCTCTAATTTTCCCTGTCTTGAATACTAGTTGGTGATGAACCTAGGATTTGGCGATGGGAGAGGGCAAAGCCTGTAATTGATATATGAAGGAATTATCTAATTATTTTGTTTAGCCTTGTGGATATTGAATAAAAAAGGGACTTATGACATGCATAGTGTCAATGAAGATTACGAAGATTTTTATTCTAATTAGTCTACTTACCATATTTAGGATATGTACACATTTTCTATTTAATGGAAGAATCCACACACGTGAAAACCAATTCAGCCTAACAATGTCACAAAGCAAATGTACTTTGGCCACCACAAGATTTTGAGCTTATATTTACTACTATCTCAGTTAATTACGTAAAGTTATGACTTGTCTCTAGTGATTCTTCCTTAAACATTAGTAACAGGTTATTTTGTTTAGGAATCAACAGGCATGCATCTAGATTCAAATAGACACACGACTTTCTTCTGCTTAAATAGACTTTAATCATATTAGCGAACTAAATAAAATTAAACCATATCAATTCTCTAATTCAGATAATCAAGGTAGGTGAGAATGGTGGCTGTTTAAATCATGGCACTGGAACCAACATTGATGTAGAAGTTACAGGTAGGAAGCTTACTAAATACTCTCCCACATCGTGTGAAAACTATAGATTTTTCTACAAATCACTCCAAGGAATGATTGAGGTTAGGCAACACGAGGAATATACCTGTCTTTGGCAGGCAGAGTAGCATTTAATGTCTAGGACATAATAAAAGATCCACTGAATATGTCAAAATGCGATCCAGTTAGCAATTTATCCTCTCTATCCATTTTTGTTGGAAGTTAAGGCCAAACACCAGTTTTTCTTTTCTCTTACCAGGTTAACTTTTAATTTAATTAGTTTATATGCAGCTCCAGTAAGCCCTTTTGGGTTTGTTGTGAACAAATGATTTGTCAGGCTTGGGGGGTGGGGTGTTTAAAATTGAGGTCGAATGAGATTTTCCTTTTTCTAGATTGTAGCTTGAGACACTCCCAATGGGGCTTGGGCATGGCAAGACCAGAATTTGAATTAGAACTGGCTTATTTCTAGCATGTAGATGAAGGAATTGCTCTAATCTTACGGACTGTGGTTAGGCCTGCCTCTGCCTGGGCTATCCATCTGTAATTTTTGGTTTGATGTCCTTTCAGATTATTCTCTACTGGAAATTCTTGTCATATGTTGTATGCTAAAATACGAAAAACCTTTGGCATGCCATGTTTTGAGAAAATATATATTAATTGAACATGTTCATCGTATTGGATATCATTGATGGTTAATGATGCTTTAAGCAACTCTCCTAACACATGCACTTACTCAATAATACATGCATACTTGTAGATGTGTGTGGATATTTATGGTTTAACTGAAACTGCATCTATTAGATGGTTGAAAGGGGCTTTGCAACATTAGCATTGGTAGCTCAATGTTGGGAGGACTCTGCACCTGAAGGATCTGAAGAAAACGAGTCATATGTTGCATGGGTATCTCAGCGAACAACTATTGCAAAAGCCTTCTCCGATCTCCTGCAACGAGCTTGGTTTAGACCTTTCCAGTCCATGGTTAGTCACATATATATTTTTCATTGGAAAATAGGGCTCTTAGAAGTTATTGCTATGTTTCTCTCTTGTTAAATTGATTGTCTTCTAAAGTAGTAATTAATTTTAGTAATCTATAAGCAATAACAAACTGGGAGTCATCCTTTTACTAGATTCCTTCGAGCTACTTCTACTTTAGCTGACTGTATCAAGTTTTCCAGGATCTGAAGTGGCTAGTAGAAAAGCCGGAAGTTACTGGATTTTGAAGTACAAAGTTGCTCGAACTAGAACATTGTTTATCATACTGATTTATTTTTGCACTTTGGCCACTCAAATTTCTGATGCACGTTTGTTCTAAGATCCGATGTATCATATTCTCAAAATCATGTGGTTATTGCTCCATCCTTGGTGGCTGCGAGTATTTATCACAGAAACTGAATTTTGTTTTAAATGTACTGGATGAGACACTATAAAATTGATACCTGAAAATTGTGGACATCTAGTTAAAAGTGAATGGTGAGAAATCTTGCAGTGATATGGAATCGATGTGGCAAAGCAGTTTGGCATTTACCTACTCTGTCCAGATTTTCTTCTGCATTAGCTCACTTTCCATACGATTATGCAATTGGCTTATTCATACCTTTTAGATGATCTAGGATAACTTACTTTTCTTACAAATCTAATCAATTTATTGTACACCCAAACATATTTTAGCTAGCAATTTGATATGCACATCTTACAAGGCAGAATCATGTTTATGATGTTCCTCTGCTGTGCGAATGATCAGGAAGGTGAGGCTGCTCTTTCAACAGTGTCTCCATCGTGTGTGGATGATTCATCCACGTTGCTTGGGTTCATAATTCAATATATTGCTGATAGCAATATTGTTCTACAGCTAAAAATCTCAGAGTTGCTAGTAGCTTGGTCTAATCTAATTGCTGAATGGAATGCCTGGGAAGAAATGGAGGATTTATCAATTTTTAAGTGCATCAAGGAAGCTGTTAGTCTAAACAACAAATTTGCTTTGAAGAATTTCGTTGTGGGACAACTACCATCTCCTCCGGCTCCTCCTGTGCCACAACGTTCAATTATTGAAGGAATTGGTCTTTTTGTCACTGAGGCATTTTCACAGTATCCATCTGCAGTCTGGAGGGCTTCATCATGTGTCCATTTGTTATTACATGTCACAAGTTACTCATTAGAACAAGAGGTTAAGAAGTCGCTGGCTTTATCGTTTAGTGAGGCAGCATTTTCTCGTTTCAGAGAAACTAAAAGCAAGCCTTGCCCATTGTGGAAACCATTGTTGCTAGGGATATCGTCATGCTATTTACACTTCCCTGACGGCGTTGAGAAGATTTTGGAGACCCTTGAACATGAAGGCTTCACCATCTGGGTATCTGCCTTGGCATTTATCTTGACTGACAAATTTGGACACAAAATGTCAACGAAGTCTGAGATAAAGTTAACTGGTTAGTGTTTAATTTTTTAGCCTTTTCAATTCTTTGGAAGCATGGTCATTGTTTGTGAAAGAGCTGGAGAAAGTAGTGAAGGATGAGGTTAGCTGCTGAGCTTGTGCATAATTGCTTCTAACCTCAAGAGTTTTCCAAGAATTATATTTATCATCTCAATGTGCTAAATCTAGTAACTGCCATATTATCCATTTCATCTCCATAAATTCATGGAATTGCCTATAAAATGGTTGAGGTCTCGCTTAAAGATATTCATGTAATCACATGGTTTCATAATGACTTTCAGGGATGACATTAGTTAAAGTAATTGAGCGTCTGCTAACAGAAGGAAAACAAAGCTGTACTTTACTGCAGGATTGCTTTACTTCTTTGATAGAGGCATCCATAAAGGTGAAAGAATTGCAAGCAGAAGAGGAAGGAGAAGAAGAGGATGAAGATGAAGATGAGGATGATAACGATGAGGACTCTGAGGATGATGATGAAGAGGTTAAGGACCAACTTCCTTCCTGATCTATCAATTCGAGTGCAGGCGTGCTTGATTCTAAATGCTGCCTCCCCTTTCCCCAATATGTCCTTCCTCTCCACTCAATAAGGAAAAGATAAACAAGAAGTGAAAACAAAAGAGGACAAATGTCACCCTGAAGAATTTTATCCAATGGAGTGTTTCGTTTGCAATATTATTAATGCATCTTGCAGTTCGTCTCATTTTTTGAACCACATTAGCAACTACCAGTGTGTACTGAAGTTACATCTTGTTTTTACTTTTGGTTGTGATGCTAGGATTCCGAGGATGATGAAATTGAAGAAACTGAAGAGGAATTCCTAGAAAGGTGTGCCAAAGTAGCCACTGCATTGGAAAATGGGAGTATTGTGGAAGAAGGCGATTTGGAAGATCAGGAGCAAGATATTGAACTTGGTATTGACTGTCAATGCTCTTTTCTAATTCTTAATTATTTCATCATTTACTTAAATAATCTAGTTAGTATTTGGAAACAGGGGTGTTTTGGTGTAAAGTTCTCCTTTTAGGACATTAGTTAGCCAACGTCTGGATGCTTTATATTTCTTCAAACATATTCACATCTAGACTAGATTTGAACTGTTATTATCTTGTAAAAGCTCAGTTGGAGAAACTTAATTGTAAATTAGACTGGAGTGACTGGTTCAACTGAGTAGCCGAATATGTTTTTCCAAGAATGATGTTATTTCGTAACATTGACGTGTCTATCTAAGATAGTTGGAGAAAGTTAGTTGTATTATACAGGACTGAATACAAATTTGTTATTAGTGCTTAACCTTTAATATCTTATGCTGCTTTGCGTTGGTGCATAGGTACCATGGAAGAGGTTGATCTGCAGAGTAGTGTGCTCTCATTGATCCAGAGGTACCATGGTATTCTCGTACAAGGACAGTCGCTTCCACCTCAACTGATTTCAAGCTTCGTCAGCACCTTTCCCGAATGTAATATGTACTTCCAACAACTAAGGCATTAGCGTTTTATTATGTTCCAGTTAAAATTATAGAAAGCATTTGTGGTCTTTTTTGTACTATCCCCATGATTGTAGTACTAAATTAATTTTAATGTACAAGAATCTTGCACTAGACCAAACATGTTAACTACATTAACTGAATGTTTGGCAAGGTATTTTATAAACACGGGTTACATGCATTGTGGGTCATTGAACATTAGCAAACTTGCAAGGGGGTCCTGAACTTCAATTGAGAGCAAATGTAGTCATTCTGTTAGTGTCCATCTGTCAATTTAACGTGAATAACAAGATTTTATAATCAATGGTAAGCTGATGCGTAACTCTAAAATATAATAATCATACCACCATATTTTTAATCACAATTTCATTAGGTGAAATATCGGCTACAAGAGTGTTTTGTTTGATATGAAATTTTGTTTAAAGATGAAGTGTCGAGAAATTAATATTACTTACAAAATTGTTTTACAAATGTGGTGCCATGAAATTGAAATTTTGTTTTATACGTCTCCAGATATGGGATGAATTGATGGCTGATTTTCCCAAATCTTTAAAAAGTCTTACATGTTAGAAAATGAGTTGACATCTTCACATTTTCTAAGAAGAGATTTTATGCTGATGTGTAAATAATATATTAAAGGGACAAATAAGGAAACAACAAGTATAGGACAACAAATTTCAACTCAAAATAAAGGATCATCCAATCCAATATTTAAGGCTGATGTCAATTTCTGTCCTAAATAAAAAGTAGCTAAATTTGGAATTATTCTCCCTGCCAATGGACCAGGGCCCATGTGGCCCTGGCAAAGTAGCATATCTCCTAAATTTGGAAGTAATTCTTTTTATAGTCAAAACTTATCAACCCCACATACCACAAAAGTAAAATGGAAATAACTAAATTTATATATAATTATATGGCTGAAGTCTCCCACATATATAATGTAAAATGAGAATGGCAGTGAAGCACAGATTCACTCTTGTAGAGGCAACTTCATTTTGAAGGACATCAGACAAAATATTCTCTCTCTTGCATGTTTCCAGGAACCCCAACAAAAAAAGGGCCTTAAATTTATTAATCACATTCGAAAGAGGAGGGAGCAATTTCCACTGCACATAAAACCGAGTTCACAGAGTGCAGGAGGAGGACATCATGGAAGACACCTTATATTATGGGATTGGCCATCTCTGCTGGCATTGGAGGCGTCCTCTCTGGCTATGACACTGGTACCAATAACTCGTTATTTTGAATCTTCTTAAGGCTGTTTAGGCATGTATTATTTATTAGCAGGATATTGGGCTGCAGGTGTTATTTCTGGTGCCCTCCTGCATATACGCGAGGATTTTAAAGCTGTAGATAAGGATGCATGGCTACAGGAATGTGCGTGTGTACACATATTTGAATAATCTTCGAATTACTAATACAAATAGTGATCATACCTTTGCTATATTGTAGGAAACTATCTTGAGCGTGGCTGTTGCAGGAGCAATAGTAGGCGCTGCAGTAGGTGGATGAATTAATGACAAGTTCGGGCAAAAATTATTGATTCTGGTGGCTGATTTTCTGTTCGCTGTTGGTGCAATAATTATGGCATTGTCTCCAGCACCCTGGATGATTATTGTTGGTACCTGCCTTGTGACGTTATCTGCTGTGTTTTACAGAGCTTCTGCCACTTCCCCACATATCAGCAATTTCGAGTCTGCACATTTCAGTGGAAACTCGACTTGTTCAAGTTACATGAACGCCGCAGATGCATTGTCTTGGAACTGCATGACATGTTTGCAGAAAGACAGCTGCGCATACTGCTCAAGTGGATCCAGCAAAGTAGGCCACATACAGTACATATTATAACATGAACAAACATAAATATCTGGGGACAGTTGCACTACTTTTATTGGTAACTTTTCATTACAGTTGCACAACGAGTCTCATAAACCGTTCAAATCTCCGTTAAACCACGTGGCCCTCACATATCCAACCATATGAATTTCCCAACTAGGGTTGGAGTTCAGAAATTCAAAGTGGGGCACGATTCCCAGAGCCACCTGACAATTTAATGGAGATTTGAAGGTTTTTTGTCTATGGAGGCTGATTGTGCAACCAATGCTTCCATTTTTCCTATATATAAATTGCTAGTTCAGCTAGGTAGATGTCTGGTTTTGATTTATCAGAGACTCGTATACACATTCTCTTTAGCTTTTGTATGCAATAATTGTTGAAGATAATTTTTTTTTTTTCGTTAATCAGTATGGTGCTGGAGCTTGTCTAGCTGCCAGTCATATAATAAAAGGTGCATATTGATCAGAGAATAGGATATGGTACACAAAGGGATGTCCAAGCACTATTGGAATCTGGGCAGTCTTATTCCTTGGACTGTATATCATTACATACTCACCAGGAATGGGAACTGTACCGTGGATTGTAAATTCTTAAATCTATCCATTGAAGTACAGAAGCAACAGTGTAGGAATTGCTGCAGTCGCAAACTGGACATCAAATCTGATAGTGAGCCAGACATTTTTAACATAACTGAAGCTCTTGGCTCTGCTGGTACCTTCCTATTGTTTGCCGGGTTCTCCTCCATTGGACTAGTTGCTATTTTCATCCTTGTACCTGAAACCAAAGGAATGCAGTTCGAGGAAGTGGAAAAGCTGTTACAGAAAGGATACTCACCATTTAGGAAACAGAATAGTGATGACGACGAAAACACCAAGTAAGTCCATTTAAGCCCCTGTTTGGCCCCCATTAAATTAAATTACATATATTAAATTTTCTCGCTCTTCATTATAAACACACATTCATCAAATAAAATAATATTACACACAAATCTAAAACTTTTCATTACTTTTCCACCGCACATTTTCCCATCAATCACTATTCCAAAAATTTTTAACCCTAAAAGCCAAACAGGGGCTTAAATGGTGAGAGATGAAATAAGCAATAAAGCTAACTTGGAAACCAACATTGAAATTGAAGGGTGGAAGAAAGTAGATGACAAGAATGCTGCTAGTTAACCTAGTGAGGAATTGTCAATTACATGCCAAGCCAGGAAAAAATTGGCCGCCATTAAATTAAATTACATATATTAAATTTTCTCCCTCTTCATTATAAACACACATTCATCAAATAAAATAATATTACACACAAATCTAAAACTTTTCATTACTTTTCCACCGCACATTTTCTCATCAATCACTATTCCAAAAATTTTTAACCCTAAAAGCCAAACAGGGGCTTAAATGGTGACAGATGAAATAAGCAATAAAGCTAACTTGGAAACCAACATTGAAATTGAAGGGTGGAAGAAAGTAGATGACAAGAATGCTGCTAGTTAACCTAGTGAGGAATTGTAAATTACATGCCAAGCCAGGAAAAAAATAGATTGGAGGTTACCATAAGCCAATAAATCAATCCGAACAGAGTTAACCACGTGACGTGTGGGGTCTTTACATTAAAGAAAGTTCATTGTGTTATCGCCAAACATCAACTCACATCATCTTTTCGTGAGTGATCCATCATCATCAAACTGCCATCACATAATCCTTCACTAATGAAGTAGAACAAGAAATAATCCTTACAAAATTTATCAAAAGGGAAACTTCAGGATTTCCATGATCGCCCAAAACTTGCAGAAAAGTAAGAATTTCCAAAACAGAAACAGAAAGCGCTAACTTTTAGATCCACAAAGTCAACAGAGTTCGAAATTTGAACAACTTTATCCCCCAATGATGAAAAACACCAAACAGAAACTACTTATAAAATCGTAAAATTGGTAATATTTTCAGAAATTTGGTAAACTATGAACAAAGTGAAATTCCAAATAAAACAGATTAATTCATCATTCTCGCAAATAATCTGAAAGGAAGATTAAAAAAAAAAAACCTAATCTTTCTAAGCGAACAGATAACAATAAAGGAAAAAAAAAATCAGATATTTCACATAAGAAATGATCAAAAGGGGGGAGGGGGAGAGAAAAATTTAAAAAAGACAGTTCGATGAAAGCGAGGATCACTGCACGCAAAAATGATACAAGTTAGATGCTCGGAATTTGTTCAAGCTGCCTAGTATCCATGTACATGTTTGTGCGTGTATGCGACAGAGGGGGCGTGGAGGTAGGTGCGGTGGGGTGGGGGGAGCGGAAGCCTGAACATTAAGCTGAGTTTACAGCTCCGTTGGGTTTTTATCGCCCGACGGGAGAAATAGGGTTGCAACTGAGGAGGTCACTGAAGTTTGCTAAAAATTTCATTTTAGTCACTAAAATATTTTTTATAACAAATTTAATCACTAAGTTTATTTGATTAGTGTAGTACTATTCAAAATATCAATAAGACACAGAAGTAATAGAAGTTTCATTGAAATAGACCTAAATAGCAGTTTTTTGATAGGGGCGATAAATAGATTGAGTCGAGTAGCTTGATTCGGCCCATCATAGAACTCGACTCGACCGATCATATGAGTTAAACATCACGTAGCATATAGCAACTAACTCGTGTTGGAAAGAAATTGAGATATAATGCCTCTAGGTGGCAAAAGTGGAAAAACCAAGATGTGCCTTCGTTTGTCCTCCATTGTTTTTGTTTTATAATTTTTGGAATAGTATTTTTTTGGAAAATGGGTGATAGAAAAAGAAGAGAAAAAATGTATTATAATTTTAATAGATGCCAAACGGGAGCGTAATATAGGTGAAATGTATTACATCTTCTCATTTATTAAAAAAATACGATAGGTTAAATTGTTAAATTTATCGTGTTCCTAAAATTTATGTCCCTATTTGAACTCATTTTTTGGGAGAAATGTATTTTAAAATAGTGAATTTTTTTTGGAGAATGTATGATTAAAAAATATGAAAATTTTTAAATTTATGTTTAAAATTATTTTATAGGAAAATGCGGGTTTTGGGAAAAAATTGAGTTCTAGAGGAACATTCGGCAAAAACGGGAGCTATGAAAGTTATACAGTATATCTGATTCCTTAACTGCAATCTAATGAAATCTCAGCCGTTGATCAATGACGAGCTGCTGATAATGAAGATCGGCCACAAAATGTTATACCCCATGCGTAAGCTCATGGACTTGCAAGCAGACAATCCTCTTCTCATGAGCCCTAACCAATTACGCCAAAATGCAATTTTTTCTGGCTACACCCATCATTTAGACACACTTACAAGAATTGGATTCTTTCTCTCTCTAAAATAGAGTGATAAAATCATCTAAAAGTAGAGAGAAAGGAAGGAAAAGCAATACGCCGCATCTCTTAATTAAGGTATGTGATGTTTATGAAGTTCTTTCGACAATTTTTTTTTCATTTTTTGAATTTGTTTGATTTTTGAAAGTGGGCTATGGAAAATTCAGTGGCAATCTCTGAATCTAATTTTTGCCTGCAAATTATTACATCTGGTAATTTTTCATTTGGGTCGATCGATTTTATTTGTACCGAGCATTTTAATTTTTCTAGGGTTCGAGTACTGGTATAATGAGATAATTTCGTGAATTTTTTAATTGAAATGTTCTGGATGTCTAATTGGAAACATGGGTTAAATTTTTAGAGTATTGGTTACTTCCAAAACTTTTAAAGAGTTTTTCTTTTAATGTTCTTCAACTGAATGAGATTAAGAGCATGCTTGGTGCTTTTGTTCCCCAAGCTAATAATCTTGAATGGCTAGGTGATTGATAATACGACTCAGCTAATTTTTTTAGTAAATCCTTTATTTTGGATGTTGAAGAGGGGAGATAAGTTTTCTAACGGCTACAACAACAAACTAAGTGTTCCCGGTAGATCAAAGGTCTGCTACATGATTCGTCTTTTGCCACTCTACTTGATGCTGTGCAATGATTTTGTTGGTTTTATTTATGTCATATTCATTCATTTTGCGGTCATTGATGTCAACTGATTATTGTAGCATCATTATTAACATGGACACTGCCGAAGCGGCACCTTCTTCCACTGGACCCAGATATGCTCCTGATGACCCCACTCTGCCTCAACCTTGGAAAGGGTTAATTGATGGAAGCTCGGGTCTTTTATACTACTGGAATCCCGAAACAAATGTTACTCAGTACGAGAAGCCGGCAGCTTTACCACCACCCTTGCCATCAGGTCCACCGCCAACTCCTACAGTTTCTACACCCAAGATGAATCCAGTACCTGTAGTTAGAGCACAGCAACCTGATGGTGTTCAAATCCTGCAAAATCTGCAAATGACACAGATCCAGAACCTACAAGGGCAACAAATGAGTTCATCGTTGCAGCAACAAACACAGTTAGCACCCCCTGCCGTTCAACAGAAAGTAGCACAGACCGAGCAACAACAGGGGTCACAATTGGGACCTTCCATGCAACAGCAGGGTCATATGTCACCGCAACAATTTAGGCCACAACTAATGCAACAGCCAGGTCAGCAAATGCCACCCTCATTGGGGCAAATGTCTATATTGCCAGGGCAGCAAGGACATCCACAGTCAACGCAGCAAGTACCCATGCAGCCAGTGCAACAAGCATCTTATCAGGGGATGCATCAAATGCCACACGGCCCGCAAGGACAGATTTATTCAGGTGCACAAATGGGACATCCACATGGTTACCCACTCACTCCACAACAGACCCAGTACACCTATCAACAGAATATGCATCCCCAAAGGCCACCAGATTCCTCACAACAATCTCAACATTTAATGCAGGGGCAACATTATCCCCATCAACAAGAGCATAAAGTGGGATTCCCTCCGAGATATGATCTTGAAATTCAGCAAGTGAAGCAAACTGGGTTTTCTCCAGCCCACATTCAGCAAACTGGGACACCATCGGCACAAAACTTATCTGCTGGGACAAATTCCATTCACGCACCTCAGATTGGTGTTCAGCCTAGTCAAAATATGCAGTATGGTCGCTCTTCTGTCAATATTCAGCCGAGTGGAGCAGATTTGGGGCCCCAATCAGGTGGTTCTAGGTTTCAAAATGAGATGGGCTCTGGTATTATTCATGGGCAGCAGCAGAATCTGCCCCCTACCGGATCAAAGATGGGCTACGAAGAAAACCCTCTTGGAAGAACTGGAAATGAATATTACAACACCAATAAAGATGGCCGTGCTATGCCTCAGCATCCCAAGCTAGCAGCACTACCCATGCCAAGAAATCAGCAGGCGAGTTACTCATTGGATCATTTATCATTTTCTAATTGCAGGATCTGGATTCCGAGTCTAATTTTTGCCTCCTATAGTTACTTCTAGTGCATATTGATTGATTTATAAGTAGTATAGAAGGAAAGAGATTATAAGATGGAGAACCCACATCTATTTACACCTTCTTACAGTTCACACGTTTCTGATTAGTTTTCTAGTAAATCTGCACTCCTCTTGTCTCTACTGGAAGGCATTGGAGGGCACTTTATTGGATATTTGTTGATGCTGGTGCTACTTTTTATCAGGAAACAAGGATGAATGATTTCCCCCCTCAAAATATTGCTATTAATCTTCCAGGGCAATCAAATAGTCGAGCAGGACCTCCATTGCATGGGAACTACAGTCATGCAACTGTCAACCCACCATTTCCTGGCAATTCTCTTGTGCAGCCTCCTGTAATGATGGGCCCTTCAGATGCTATTCCTCTCTCAGCAGCTGACGTTTACTGTCAAAAAAATGAAGTAACAGCCACGGTTTGTATTCATATCTTTCTAAATTATGTATAATGAAATTCTTTCACATCATCTCCATCAGGTTGAAAGTTTTCTACTTCCATGATACATTCCCAGATGTAATCGTGAATCATATGAAGCAAAAGCTATAAGCAGAATCTTGAAGAAAGCTATTAAAGCAACTCATTGCTATAATGTACTTTAAAAAATCACAGATCTGATTTTTTGGAAAATTGATGGATGTGATAACCTTCTAACTGGAGGAAAGAAAATAAATGAGGTGTGTAGTCCAATAGTATCAAAACAGGTGCATATTGTCCTAGAATACCCATGTTCACATGATATGGCTTGGATATGGGTGTGACATTTTCTATAGTTTCTTTGTTGCTGATAGACCAGGAAGAGCTGAAGAGAAGATTCCTGGAAAAGGAGGAGATAGATAAGAGACGAGCTTATCTCACTTAAATTTTCATAGTCACAGATCGAAATTTGACGCTGCCGATACATTTCTTGATAGTTGAATGGCTGCAGCCTGTTCATGAATAAGAATAGGGTTGGCGGTCCATAAGAAAAACAAATAAATGGCCCAATTTTTTTTTTTTTGCAAAGGAAACCCTTTATAATTGTAAATTTTCTATTAATAGTCCCCACTTCCTAAAGTAATAAAGATTTACCACAACAATTTTCCTATTCCTTTTACCCATGTAATTCTTGTTGCCTTCCTTTTTGTCCTTTGAAAATTTTGAATTTGTCCAACCTGTTCTAGAATGTTCCCACAGAACAAGAGATGGGTTTCAGTTTTGCCCATTTGGCTTTGGTACCCAATGTGAATTTTAATAATGCCGGAAACATATAGCTGTATAACTGCCTCTCAAGTTTTGATCTTCAGAAAAATCAGATGCATGGTGTAATGAACAGAATATGTACGTCTCGCTTCCTTATCCATTATTGAAAAAGATGTCAATGTGATGTAGGTTTGGACCTTGCAGATCTAGATATCTCCCTCTTAAAGCCTCTGGTAGCTTATTGGAATGCACCTTAATAATGTCTAGTTTTCAAAAATAAACACGCTCTTTCACTATTACTTCCCCAACTGCCTCAATGAAATAATCTGCCTAGTTCTTCTCATACATTCAACGAATAAAAGATATCGTCTTGCATTTCTCTTCATATTACGTCACTGAGGGTATGATTGAACTGCAATTAAGGCGTCCGTTGCTTGAACATACTCTGCGAGTATGATAATTCTTGGTCATGAGACTGTAAGAATTGATGCATGGTTGGAAAAAGTTTAGCACACGTATTTTTTGTCAAGAGCCTGCTCAGTAAGCTGTTTTAGCTGCTTCTGTATTCCCTCGTATTTGGCAGTTCCTTCAGTCCAATGTTATTTTTGTACAAGTCAATAATTACTGAAATCTAATAACCCCATTCCTATCCAGGGTGACAATGTTCCTGCCCCTTTCATGACATTTGAAGCCACTGGTTTTCCGCCAGAGATACTACACGAGGTAAGTATTTTAACCCGAACTGTGATAAATTGTTTATAAGTGCCTCGGAGATCTTAGAAATCCATCTTTTTTCTCAACTTTGATTTTTCATTTGAAAAATTCATGCTTTTAGCTTATCAGTTTTCACTTGTCGCAGGTGCGATATCTGCTCCAGAGGAGGAGCACATGTCGTACGCTGCACTGCTAGCTCATACTTTTGCAAGAATATTCTGAGTGTTTGAGGCCGCAACATTAACAGTCGGAGCCTTCCTCTGGCAGATTGTTGTAGGGTGGTTGCCCCTCATCCAATTCACACTATATGTGACTGGGGTTTCTAGCTTATTGGCTCTGCCTCTTCTCTTTTAAACGCTCCCTTGTGTTGCCTCGAGTTGCTTCAGTAAGCAACTGCACACCCATGGGTTTTTTGAGCAATCTTTCTTTCATTTTTTCCTTTTGTTTTTATCCTTTTCAAAGAGCGGAAAAGTTCCCACTTTGTCGGTTTTTCTTATTTTATTATGTCCAAACTTGGTTTGAGTTTCTTAGCTATTTCTCTTTCAGAGGCTCATTGTTTACATAAATTTGTTTCAGATACGTTTTGCTGGTTTCTCTGCTCCCACTCCAATTCAGGCACAGACATGGCCTATTGCTCTACAGAATAGGGACATAGTTGCGATTGCCAAAACTGGTTCTGGCAAAACATTGGGATATCTGATCCCTGCATTCGTTCATCTTAGGCGACGGCAAAATAATCCTCTGAATGGTCCTACTGTGTTGGTTTTGGCTCCAACTCGGGAGCTTGCTACCCAAATCCAGGATGAAGCAATCAAGTTTGGCCGATCATCTAGAGTCTCTTGCACAGTGAGTTGTGATTCCTCTTTTTCTTTACTTCTACATTCTTCTAAATTGATTTTTTTACACGCTGGATGAAAAAAAAATCATTCTTTTGTTTTAGTGCTTGTATGGTGGTGCTCCAAAGGGCCCTCAGTTAAAAGAACTGGATCGAGGAGTGGATGTTGTGGTGGCAACTCCTGGTCGGCTCAATGACATCCTTGAAATGAAGCGAATTGATTTTAGGCAGGTTTCTTTTCTTGTGGTTGATGAGGCTGATAGAATGCTTGACATGGGATTTGAACCTCAGATACGTAAAATTGTCAATGAAATACCACCAAGAAGGCAAACTCTCATGTACACAGCAACATGGCCCAAAGAAGTGAGAAAAATAGCAAGCGATTTGCTTGTTAATCCAGTCCAGGTTAACATTGGCAGTGTCGACGAACTTGCTGCAAATAAGTCTATTACGCAGGTATGTTGTGACAATATTGTCGTCTTTCTAATGAAGATCAAATAAAAAAAATACTGCTTTCTGATTGACGAAAATTAATTTTTTCAAATTGTAGGTCAGACCTGATAAAAAAAAAAAAAAGAGAGGTCAATTACTGGGTTTTAACTTTCAGTTGGGCTTCCTTTTACCATATCTTGCCCTCTATGCAATTATAATAGCATAACATATAAATGACTATCAACTTTAAAATTTTCTGCTATTATGAGGGGCAAATTTTTCTCATCACCTCCTTTGAGGTGCACAACGCATTATTGTCCTTTATGCATGTGCTGGAATCACGTTCATCAATTTTCTTCTTAGATCTTCCGCTTTACAAGTATACCTTGAAATATAAGCTGTGGAATAAAATTTGCTTTGCTTTTGTAGCTTGTCTGTTTTTTTCTGGTATATTGGCCACTGAGCAAGTATTTCTACCATGCAGTATGTTGAAGTAGTTCCTGAAATGCAGAAGCAAAGGCGCTTGGAGCAAATTCTTAGATCCCAAGAGCGTGGTTCTAGAGCAATTATATTTTGTTCAACTAAAAAATTATGTGACCAGCTGGCACGTAGTATTGGACGAAACTTTGGGGCTGCTGCAATTCATGGAGACAAAAATCAGGGTGAAAGGGACTGGGTACTGAATCAATTCCGAACTGGCAAGTCCCCTGTTCTAGTTGCCACTGATGTTGCTGCTCGAGGCCTTGACATAAGAGATATAAGGTCATAAACTTTCTACATTTTATTCATTTCAGTCCGAATCCTCTCTGACAATATTTGCTTCGCATTTTTAAAATTCCATGCATCGTTATTTGGTGAAAAATATAGTACCATTCTATGCTTTTGCTTTGATTGGTTGGTCGGAGACATCTGTCTTGAAATATTCCTTCACTTATTTCTCACAGGGTAGTGATCAACTATGACTTTCCAACTGGCATTGAAGACTATGTTCACCGCATTGGAAGAACTGGGAGGGCTGGTGCTACAGGTATTGCTTATACTTTTTTCTCGGAGCAAGACTGGAAATACGCAGCTGATCTTGTTAAAGTCTTGGAGGGGGCCAACCAACCCGTGCCTCCAGAGGTGAGAGAAATAGCTTTACGTGGTGGACCTGGTTTTGGCAAAGATCGAGGTGGGATAAACCGTTTTGATTCTATTGATGGTGGTGGGCGTTGGAATTCTGGTGGCCGAGGTGGCATGAGGGATGGTGGCTTTGGTGGTCGTGGTGGGATGAGAGATGGTGGCTTTGGAGGTCGTAGTGGGGGGAGGGATGGTGTCTTTGGTGGACGTGGTGGGATGAGAGATGGTGGTTTCGGTGGACGGGGAGGGATGAGAGATGGTGGCTTTGGTGGTCGTGGTGGTGGGAGGGATGGTGCTCGGATTGGTTGGGACAGGAATGAACGTGGTACACGTGATCAATATCACAGTGTAGACGTGCCAGTGCGTGGCAGAGGCAGGGGGCGGGGACGATTTGATAACAGAAGAGATATTTCAGACAGGAGAAGAGAGAGAAGTTACAGCTCTAGTCCTGAGAGAGTTCGAACATGGGGTTATAGCCGAAGCCGTAGCTCAAGTAGGAGCCGCAGCCGCAGCAGGGGTAGGAGTAGGAGTTATAGCAGGAGCCGCAGCCTCTCTCGTAGCCGTAGCCGCAGCCGCAGCCGCAGCTGCAGCTATGATAGATATGAGAGGAGGCCGCCACGCAAATCTAAGTTTGATCAGATGGATGTTGAGGTTCCTCTTGGATCTGGGACGTCAGCCACATATCCAGGCACAGAAGGCAAGGAAGCTGAGCCAGCGGAGCAGGTTCCTTTAGCAGCTAGTGTTAATACCGGCTTCTCTGATGCTGGATCTAACCCTAGCAATCCAGCATAGGAACCATAAATCGACACCATTTGTGGAGATGAGTTCGTATTGCGAGGAAGCATAAATATTTGTGTGGTCGGTGTGTCGATTCAGTGGTTCTTATTAAGGTTGTTTTTTCAGGGCCAAACCTATATAGTCGGTCAGATTAAAATTTCATGTTATTGTCCTCATTCATCTCTTGGTGTTTTTGGTGATGGGTTTAAAGTTGGCACCGACCCAAAAAAAAGGGGAAAAAAGAAAACCCTATTGCACTACTGTTTGTCCAAATTTCGACTGAGGATATTTTCGCCTAATAGGACTAATTAGGCAATGCTGCTGCTGATTTTGTTTTAACAAATAGATCTGTAAAAGGGAAATTGTCGTGCTGTACCCCCAAGTGGAGGGGAAGATATGCTTGTTCCTTTCTTTCTTATCAATCTTGTTCTAAGAATCTTAAGGTTCAAATTATTGAAGAAGCCTTGTATGCTCTTCAAGCTTTCTTCAAAATCAAAATAAGCTGATGTCGTTTTGTTCTTTCTTCTACTATTGTAGAGATGGGATCTGTTGTTGTTCCTACCAAATTTTTGACATTTTGGTGTTATAGCTTTTATTTGCAAATGAGTAGATGTGATGTAGTGTAGGGAGTTTTCAGGCATTAAACAAGAGGAACAGGAATTGGGGACAATGAGGAATGGAAGATAGGCATCAAAGATTGGTATATTTATTTCTTTATCTTGGCCTGCCTTTATTGCGGGAATCGATACCTACACCAACTCTCCTACCACAGGAAACTTCCAACCAGTTTCATTTCAAAATTCTTTATGCAAGTCCCACTAAATAATTACCTTTTTATTTTTATTTTTAATTATTTTTTAGTGGGGTTCATTATATTGTAATGAAGATTCGATGTTGTGGGTGATATGACGTTTGACTTCTTGAGCATGTGGGTGTTTATTTGGATTGGCATTGAATTTATAATAAAATGTGTGGTTGAAAAGTTGTGAATTTTCATAAAATGTGTGGTTAAAATTAATTTTTGTTATTAACTTAGATTAAAATCTTAATTTTATTTTATACTAGACATGGTGTAAGCATTTTTTACTCTTCAAATATTTGAGTATAATGATCCAAATCATATCACAAACCTTTAGGAGGTCGTTTGGGGGGTAAAAGTTCCTTTTTTGGAAAAGTACAAGTCACTTTATAAAAAAATAAGCGAATGTTTAAAATTGGCCAAGTATGATGTTTATCCTCGCAATCTTGGATGAATACTAAGAAAATACTTAAAAATGTTATTTGAATGAGATTTTTAGAATAGATTTTGCGATTTTTCTATTCCAAAATGCATTCTTATAATAAAATGGGAAACAAATACAAATGTTCAAAATTTTGTTACTTTGAACTTGCACATTTCTTTCCAAAATCATTTTTCAGTTTTTTTTTTAATTCTTTGTCATAAAAGATGACGTGTAAAAAAAAATATTAAATGTGCTCCTCACCAAAATATGAAAGTTTAAATAATTATAACCTGATATATGTACTTCTATTTCTTAAAATTCCTTTCTAATTCTTGTTTACGAACTGATGTGAAAAAGTAAAATGTTAAAGAGTGAAACTTGCAGTTGCAGAGAATAATGGCCCGTTTGATTCTCATTATTGTAGAATGAGAATAAAAAAATATAGTTGTTATTGGACCCCACACAAGAGATAGAAATTCAAAATTGATGATTTGACGTGATGGATAACAGTCATATTTTTCATTTTTATTAATTAAAAATGAGAAATAACAGAGGCTAAGTCATAATTCTTAGGGTGGAGTGATTTTTCTTTTTTTTTTTTTTCTGGAAAAAAATTGTGATTAAAAAATAAGTTAAAATTAAGAAAAATGTGAAATAGATTTTTTAATATAATTTAAATTGAATGTAAAAAATTAATTTTGAAACACAATCAATTTATTTTTTTAATATATTCAATTTGACCAAAAGGGTAAGATCAAACGCCACTATCAGGTTATGCCGTGCAGCTTCTGCCACCAAATCCCTCTCTATATAATTTCTCAACACCACTCACAAATATTCTAAAAATAAAATATTCAAAAATAAATTTCAATTTAATGCAAAATTGAATTACACACCGCCATTTCTCTCTTTTCCTGTATGTATAGTCTCTCTCTCTCTCTCTCTCTCTCTAGGGTTAGGGCTTCCTTAACAGAGTGCTTTGATATTTTATTTTATTTTTTTGTTTTATGAAAAAAAATTATGTTTATGGTAATCGATAATTCCATGCGAACCCTCGTTCATTTGATGCTCCTTCAATTCTTCAGGTCAACCATGGCTTAAATCTCCCGTTTCCTTTACTTTCTTTAGGTACTTCTCTCCCTCATTTTATATTTACACACACACACACACAGTAGCTTATACGGTACACACTTGAAAGCATATATGTTGTGTGTGACTATTTGCGTTTTTAATGTGATTTTCGGATATGAAATGTTATAAGTAATTTCGGTGTCTTTTTGGCTTCTTGGGTAGTTGAATTGATTATTTTAGTTCTTGATTGAGCAGTGTATTGGTTCTTTGGTTAATTGACTTACTTTTTTGGGGGGTGGGGTTAGGGGTTGGGTTTGCTTTTCTAGGGTTTAATTGTTTGATCTGTTACTGTTTCCCAAAAAATATATATATTGATGTTTCTGTTAGGGGGTTTTATACTCTCTTAGAATGAGAGTGCTATTAACATTATTGATTGGAGACATCAGACGAATGTAATTGTTGTATTTTTTCTTTAATATAAAATTTACTGCGCAAGTTGTTAACCAGAAAGAGTATTAGTTTCTTGATTTTCTTGAATGGGATGGGTGGAGATGAATACACTGTAGAGTTGCTGGAAGTGGTCGAAATTTTGAGTTTTTAATGTTCATTTCCATGTGTCTAAGGTCTGACAGCATCATGTCTTCTGGTTGGTTAATTTGTTATTTTCTCCTCTGTGTTATTTAAATGTGTAATCTTTTTCTTGGTGAGTGTAATAACTTTCTGATTGGTATTTTGTCCATTTGTGCTGCATGCTTTCTTTTTACGTATTATGTCTTCTCCAGGGGTGGCAGTTCTGGAATGGATGTATATAATGCTCCTGAACAAGGACATGCAGATGCATATCTTAACTATGGATATATTTGTACAGGTGAAAACAATACCATGTATGTTCACTATATGGATTTGACCTACATATATAACCGTTGGAGAGGCTGACGTAATATACTCTTAATTTTCTGTAGCATTTGAATCACCTGGCGACTGGGATGACCACCATCGGATTTTTGGTCTGGATGGTCAAGAAATTCAGTACACGGTGAGTCCCTTTCGTCTGAGTTCCAAGTTCTACACCACTTCATGTCGCTGAAATCATGCATGTTCTCTTTCAGGGAGTGTCAAATGAAGGTGTTCCGTATGTATATTATACACCAAACTATGGATATGCACAATCTCCATATAACCCATACAACCCTTATATTCCTGGTGCAATGGTGGGAGTTGATGGATCATTTGTGGGGGCACAACAGTATTATACGATACCTCCATATGAAAATACTGTTTCTTCACCTGCTTACATCTCCGTGATTGCAAATAATACAACAGACCCGTTTGTTGACAATGATGTATCTGCTAATCGAGCTGGTGGTCCAGCTCTTAAGAACAATCTTTCTTCAAAATCTACTAAATTTTCTCCTACTCAATTAAGGACTGCTACTAGCCAGACTAATACAGCTATCGAAAATGCTGGATCTAGCAAACAGCCTATGATTCATGGAAATGTTACTTCTAGAAGTTTTCCCAGTTCGACATCATTACAAATTCCCCAGGTGAGACTCTTTGAGGTAACAGAAGTGAATATCCAAATAAAATGGTTTGCCCATGAATTCAACGAGAATTTTTAGTTATCTAGGATCTTTACCTGATGCTGAGATGCGTTTTTCTGAATCCTGAAGCTAATAACTTTTGTTTGATTGCAATTTTTTGTGTTTTAGGGTAGAAGTGATGTAATTAAGGAAAATGCTCCAAACGGAAAGGCATTTTCTAGTCAAAGTCCCTTAAAATATGCTCTCCCTTCTGGCAATGGCTTCTCTAGTATTGAGCCAAGCAATTATTCCCAGGCTTCATCAGATAAAGTTAGGCCCAACGTACTCCGTGGAAGAGCTCCGGATGAGATAAAAGTTAGTGATGGTCTGTCGACCGAACAAAATCGAGGACCTAGAACTAAAAAATCGAAAAATCAATTGGCGGTTAAAGCCTACACAACAAGGGCCGGAGATTCTGATGCACTAGGAAACATTATTATCCATACTGATCATTATAACAAGGGTGATTTTTCAGTTGATTATACAAATGCTAAGTTCTTTGTAATCAAATCATATAGTGAGGATGACGTGCACAAGAGTATAAAATACAATGTGTGGTCATCTACACCTAATGGAAACAAGAAGCTAAACTGCGCATATGAAGATGCCCAGAGAATAGCTGCTGCAGATTCAAGAGGCTGCCGCATTTTCCTCTTCTTCTCCGTGAGTTACATTCTATTATGTTAGGCGTGCATTGTTGTCTGAGATTATTTACAGCTCAATTAAAGGACTCCAGATTTTCAGTCATTCAGTGTTACTGATTGGTGCCCCTTTTTCTTTTCTGACTGAAGGTTAATGCCAGTGGCCAGTTTTGCGGTGTTGCCGAAATGATTGGTCCTGTAGATTTTCACAAAGATATGGATTTCTGGCAGCAAGACAAGTGGAGTGGTAGCTTTCCTGTCAAGTGGCACATTGTAAAGGATGTGCCAAACCCAAATTTTAGACACATAATACTAGAAAACAATGAGAATAAGCCAGTGACCAACAGCAGAGACACACAAGAGGTATGCTTGCACATATTTGCTTGTTGCAATATCCACATTTTCTTTAGCAGCAATAACTTGCTCTTTAATCTACAGGAGATGTATTAATGTTCCCATTCTTTGGGTCGATTGGCATTGGTATCCCAATTCTAATTTTCCTGACAAATGGATATTGAAAGTCATAATTTTGTAGCAAACGAGTCCCGTTGATTTAAATTTTTTTTTGGTCCAAAACAGGTTAAATAAGGTGACGAGACACATTTTGCTCTTACCTTTAAATGGATAAAAAAAATATAAAGAAAATGAAAAAATGAAAAAATATTAATTACCATCTTTACTCTATCCAATGGAAGAGATGATTAATGAAGTTATGAGGTGTCATAGTTTTATATCATGTAAATTTATTTAGCTTCCATAGTTGATAATTGTTTTTTTCTCCAGATACACTACAAGAAAGGCATGGAGATGCTGAAGATATTCAAGAACTATATATCGAAGACATCCTTACTGGATGACTTCATGTACTATGAAAATAGGCAGAAGATCCTGCAGGAAGAAAAAGTGAGGCTGCTAGTTAAGAGCTACGAGAACCCATACCTCGTGCCTCTAACAGATCCTCACCGCAAGCTTAATCCTATTCTTGATCCTTCTCCTAGTGATGATAAGAAAGTCGTCTCACATGATTCAAGCAGCTCCACCATTATTAACAAGAATGAATCTGATTCTAAAGAAGAGGTTTCAAGACATGCAGTTTCAGTGTCTGGCAAACCAGATATTGACACTGAATTAAAGATTGGTTCACTAACAATTAATCCGAAAGAGTCCGATTCTGTGTGTTTGGTGCCTAATACTGCGAGCAAAGCAAATGCTGATCTGATTGATGTTGTTACAGTAGGGTCTGTGCCCGTCAAAGTTAACAGTTCCACAGGATCTTCTGGTTTTTTAACGGTGGGAACAATCCCGCTTGATCCTAGAGCTCTGCAGCTTGATGAGATTGGTTATTCGAGCAAAATGGATCTCAAAAATGGTGACGCACGGGCAAATCTGGAATACCAATAGATTGATCGTTCTGGACTAGTATGTGGTAAAACTTTCAAGAATATTGTACACCAGGCTGTATCATACTCGGTCTTGGCCACAGTTTTAGATCATGATAAATTATCATCGTGGGTACTTGTCTGCCTAATGTTGTTTTCGCTTGGATGGGATCAATATAAAACACTAGTGTATTTTGTTTTGGGATGTTCAGGTGGACGGTGGCTGATACCATTTACAAAGTGTACTTTCTTTTTGTTTCCTTAAGAGAAAAATGAATTGAAGAAACTACAGATTATTTTAGTTGGTCGTAGAAGAAAAAAAGAGTGGACAATGTAATTTTAGTTTTCCGTCGCATCATTCAGTTCCTTATTTTTGTTGGAATTGGGAAAAAAAATAATTTACAATATTTCGAATTGAAATTTATGAATTCTACAATGTTATGGCAATTTCTTTGTGTTAGAATTTCATCCACTATTTGATGCAACAAAGAGTGAGCCTTTGCACGCATAAAATCCTAGGCGACTTAACTAAACGACCAGATGAACTTCATCGAATAGTTTTTCCGCACCTTCCTCTAATCAGCCCTTTGCCCCTTCAAAGTGTCGTAGCCCACTGCCATTGTGAAGTGAATGGCTTTAGAATCATATGGTGAAACAGAAAGTGACTCTTCAAGAACTTCATTCTCGATATTTTGGGGACATCAAACTCTCATGAAGGACATCTAGTGGCAGGCATTTTCCCTTCCATCCTCCCCCAACTGGTATCTTGAGCCCTAGTCGTGGAATCTATTTGAGAGAATTTTGATATTAAAGATGGGATCATTTTTCCGACTTGCTAGTGAAACATCTTCTACATGGTATGCGACATGTAGCCTTTTGTCACAAGCTAGACTTGAACAAGGAGCCTTGACTTGAGCGTTGTCCAAGTGCTCGAGGCTCCTTTGGGCATTGGCCATAACTATCATATAAGACAAAACCAAGCTAGTAGTACCTATCAATGAGAACTAGGCTTGCTTAATAGTGCAGGCTCATTTTGTCTCACCCACTTGTCGACCCATGAATTCTTCGAAGCGGCCAGAAGGGGCTAGAATTGAGTGCCTAGCTAATGATGCATGAATAATCTTGTCTCGTTCTTATAGGCTTTCAAATTCTTTGCACTCTTTTATTAGATGTGAATACGTCTTTTCATCTTCATAAAATCTTGATCTTTTGCATCCTTCCAAAACAAACTCTAAAATCTTCATTAGCTTAATGAAATTGTTGGCTTAATGGCTTACAATACAATTTGGCATCTTCAACAAGAGCATATAAATAGTGAACAACCGTCTTGGGTTTAAAATTCACAAATAAGAATTAAGAACAATAATTTTTTAGCAAGCCTTTTGACTTACAGGCATGTTTTCAACATGTTAGTTGGCATCATATCTGTGTAATGTTAGTTACTTTATCCATTGTGTTGGGAATAAAAAACTATGGTAGACATTTGAAACATATGGACTAAGATTCATCTTCCAAGGGATTTGTCACATTTTCGTTGTACAAATCAAGAGTTCCTCCTCGTGACTGACATTTTCAAGTCACAACTCACAAGACCAAATCCATAAGGCGGGTGGGGTGTCTAATCATCTGAAATAAGATCTAAAAACAAACCCACGACATAAACCAAAAACTGAAACCTCTTGTGCAGTTATTCAGCTATGGTATGATATCACAACGTGCAGTCACTGCAACGATACCAGTAAAATGAGATCCACGATCAGAATTCAGAGCTTTTGCTGAATTTGCGCCCAGACATTTTCTCAGATTCGTATAGCATATGATTGATAAGTCCCCTTGCTGCACTGCCAAATGGAAAAGGAATACATTTTAATGAGAAAAAAGTGTCCTCGTGTTTTTGGGTTCGCATCTGCACATTTATCTAAATCAGGACACTTGTAAAAATGAGATGCATCCAAGAGTATACTTAAAAGAGTAGAAGGTCATTAGGGCAACGTATAACTGAAATCGTCGCTAGATGCACAGAAAAGAAAATAAAGTGAATTACTCACTCGTCCTTCAACTTCTGAATTTTCTCTGGATCAGTCTCATGCATATGCTTTTTAAACTGCTGTCTAACCATATCAACAAGAAGCTCTGTATTGTATTGCTGAAAATGGAGATGATAAGAATAGCCAAATTAGTTACTTTTTCTTTCTCAACAAGAGAGAAATGCCGGAGAAATTTGATCCTCTTTCCAAGGAAGTAGATGAATAATATTCAGAATAAATGCTAACACTAGGTTCTGTCTTGCTGGTTATATTGTTCCAGCTATAAGATGAATTCCTAGTCAAGACTTGAATAGTATGACAGAGAGCATACTAAAAAAAACTAGCTTGAAGTATTTATATAGCTAATAAGAAAATCAAGGAAGATATCCAGTTGCTGTCTTCCTATGTCACTCTAATTTTGTGACCTGAGAGTTAATTTGGTTTAGTGTTGGGCAGAAACAGGGATCAGGACCTAGGATGACCACCCAATCAGAAAAAAAACAAAGCTAAAGCTTCAATTCCAAATCTTCGGTACATCCAAAAGTATAAAAGAGAAACTTCTCGGTAGGTTCTTTTTTCCCTTCTTTGACAGAAACTTGCAGAAGTTAAGCACGCACCAAATTAAAACACAAATAGTTGATCCTAATTACTCATGACGAGTGCATACCTACTGATGACAAATAAATAGCAAAAGGTTACACAATCAAAAGGGTCCTCTCTTTAACTATGCATGGATAATACTCGTGAGGAAAGCTACTTAAACGAGGTAGTTGAATTTATTGATGTACCATAACCAACAAGAGCGAAAAGGCCAGCAAATAGTACGAGTAATGCTATTTGTATATCATGGTTTACAGATTATGTACAGAATGATGACATGGAAGAGAGAGAAAGAAAAAAAAGTCAATTAATATAATCCACATTATGATTCTGTAAGCGAATTTGTAAACCATGAGTACAAATAACATTATTAAAATAGTACAAGCCTTGATCAAGGGATCAGCTTTAAAACGGGGGAGCATGCAACTTCATCTCAGACACAGGGACAACCTTCAGACTTACTACCTGTTTGAGCCCCATTTTGTTCATCAGAATGTATTTTGAAATAGTATTTGGATGAAGAATGTGTGGTTAAAAAATAAGGAAAAATTCTGAATTTGCGTGTACTATTATTTTATTAAAGAATGTGTGATTGAAAATAAGAGAGAGAAAATGTATTTTGGAAATAATGGGACCAAACAAGGGCTTAATAAGGAGTGTAACACCAATGCAAATGCGAACAAACCATGTTTGGAACTGTTGCATCATATTGATCACATCTAACTTTAGTTAGCTGGAAAATACACTATTAAATTCATTATACAAACATTGAACCCCATGGAAATTCACAGTATATCAAAATATGAGGAAACAAATCAAGTATATACACAATTACTATTAAGAAATTTCTGCATAATTTAGACAGCTAACTTAGAGGAGTAGTGTAGATGAGCAAATAATGAGTCAATGAAGGCATGGAAACTCCAAGAAGGTCGGAATCCGAACTTCATCAGAAAGTGAGTACATGCAACCAATTCATCCACCTTTAACAAAATCTGCCGTTGAGAACAAATGCAGAACAATCACATCCTTCAAGTGTAATTTTACCACCATCACCTCTTCGATCCAGTGGTAGAGTGGGGTGAGGTGTGGTAAATTAGAGTCTAGAGTAACATGAATATGTACACATACAATTGCATGCCACTGACTTGTCACACTTGCATGAATTGATATAACAGGCAATTTAAAAACATATGATTAGCTCCTGATTTGATGTAAATGTTTTTTCAAGCAATGGGAAGAAATCATGCCACGAAAATTTCTGAGAGTAAACCTTTTCCATTCATATCGCTAAAAAATATCAAAGCTGAACCACGGTGAGAACTATTCAACAATATCTTCATCAAACTCATCTTCTGGGAAATAGATAAAATCAGATTCATCCAGAAAAAAAGTAATATAAAACTGAGATCACTGAGATATTAAATCAAATACCTTCTGGCCAATATATTTAGAGCGCCGCAGGCATTCGCGATAAAGCTGCAATTAAAATGGTAAAGAAAGTTATTTCAACCATGGAGTTAAATCCATTTTTCCTCTAATCTCGTCCAAACCAGATATAAAATCACATAACCATAAAAATAAATTAAATGCTTAAAAATAGAAAATTAGGAACTAAATGGAATGGTAACAATACTAACTCGAACAGCATTGTTTGCGAGTTCAGGAGGCAAAGCTGTCTGCAAAGACGGCATTTTTGCTTAATTTTACCTGACAAAATATATCCAAAAGGATTAATAAACAATAAAGATGGAGTTTAAACAGTATACTATCTTATGCTCCTCCAGATTGTATACGTAACGTACGTACCTACATATATAGAGATAATTGTACCTGTCGCCGGAAATGATCGGAATTTATAGAAGTTGACGGAGGCCGGAGACTCGTTGAATTCTAGTACAGTCCCTAGTGACATTATGCCATTGGCGACCTAAATAATGCCCCTGTTTGGCCCAATTAAATTAAATTACGTTAATTTTTCTCTCTTTTCATTACAACCACATATTTATCAAATAAAATAATATTACACAAAAATTTAAAACTTTTCATTACTTTTTCACCACACATTTTTCCATCAATTACTATTCCAAAAATTTTCAACTATAAAAAATGTCAAATAATGGGGGCCAAACAAGGGCTATAATTCATTTTTCTATTATTTCTTATCAACCACGCATCAATATTACACATAAATTTAAAAATTTCTTTCTTTTTAAACTACAAATTCTGAAAAAAATTAGTATTTCTCTCATCATAATGTTGAATAATGGGAGCCAAACGCGCTCTAAGCCCCCGTTTGATCTACATTATTATCTCGTTAAAATAAAAAGTATGACCGTCATCCATCACATAAATATTTAAATTCAAATTTTCTATCTCTTACGTGGGCCCCATA